AAAATAGCAAAAACCATGAATGGATCATGCATAGTTTGATCAGTATCAGTGTTCATAATTTACAATGTATCAGCATATCATTGCGTATCAATCATATTGCAGATTGATGATTGTGCGTTAAGCAAATCACGAGTTAATAGTGTTGCTAATACGTAGGTTGTTGAACATTTTCGATTCAATATCATCAAGTATTGTTTTTATTTTTTCAACGAAATTCATTCTATTCAACAGAATCGCAAATTTTCATGGATGGAATAATAAATCAATCGACAAAGGGTTATGATTAAATCATAATCATGTTTTTGTTTATTAATTGAATTGATGATTTCGTTTTGTTTTTAATCATTCTCCAAATGATCTTGATTTCAGTTGTATTATTTTTTGTTTTTTTCCTTTGATAGTAAGAAAACAATATCCTTATGAATCGATGCGATAACCACATTGAACATATGACAATCAGAATTAATAACTATCTCTCAAACTATTGGTCTTATCGATCGTTTTTTAATACGTAAACAATTTCAACGATCGACAGTCCAAAAATGATAAACATAAGAGAACATTGATTGTTTGATAGAGAAAATAGATGGCAAATAGAGAAAGGTAAAGACGATGACCAGACGTCTATAATTATAATCTTCAGATTTGAATCATTTTGAATAGAGTCTAATTTTAAGCTTATCTAGGAAGAGTGAAGTTGAAGAAAAAAATCCTTTTTTTTAGCGAATATTATTGAATGCATTTGTTGATCATGAGGACATGTAGATGTGAGGATTCTCTCTGAATGAGTTTTTGAAAAATTTATTATTATACAAGTCGTTTCCATCCTCATCATCATCAGACCATATGAAGTATGCATTCAGGTGATGATGATGATGTTAGGAATGCTATGTTGATGCATAAACCTACACACACGAATGTAGCAACAATCCTCCTAGATTGACTGTGTGTCTCATCTCTGTATGGTCATCGAGGCTATTTCGAGAGTCATAATCGATTAAAATTCAATCGGTCGAAACTCATAAATTTTCTGATCGTCATGATCGGTTGGTTCACAGAAAAAAGCTATAACTTCAATGGAAACAGTCAGATTCAAATCGCTGTGGATTGGATATAACATACTGTCAAGACTATGGCAAGGCTTCATACTTTTTTACAACATAACAGATAGCTTGAATCATATCAAATGCATCTTCAATCTATAGGTTGCCAAAGTGAATGTTACGTTTAGTCAACTTTGACAACAAACAATGACAAGAATGCTACTGATTTACGCAATATTCGGTTGGATTATCCAAATAACATAAGACAAAATGAACATCAATGCAATCGATCCAGAAATTGAATAAAATCTAAACATATTAGGAATATAAAACAATAAATTACGAAAAAAAAACAACAATCAAACTATTATCTGAAACTGCTGACCATTCGGTTCGTTTTACTTTGCATTTGGCATTTGTAATTGGCTAATAAAAAATCCCAGAACTTCTATCAAGTGTCTATTTGTCAAGTTGGTATTCAATTTTTTCGGTGACGAATATTTATGTTAGGTCGATTCTCAAGATGCCGATCTTTAATTTATGATCATGACGATTCATGTCCATTTTATGTTCATCGGTCTACATAGTTCATTCCAGTAAAATGGTGACATTTGAAAAAAAATTTATCCAATTCGGTGAATTCCATTTTTTCTTTTATAAGCGCCATCTAGTATGAATATTATTTGATTAATATAACTTAGAATGGGTTTTCCAGCAAGAGCTTAAATTACAATAGAAAAATGCAATGAAGGTTATTTTATGTTAACATTGAAATAACTTTATTTTTTTCTTTGATCGATTGGAATGTGCTAAATTAAATATAATGAATATTGGATAGGCACACATGAAAAGAAAGGGAGAAGTTAATGATTATTAATAATCAATATCAAGGATAGCCTCCAATTGTCAGCCAATAAATGGAATTATGATGAATACATAGGTACGTGCTTTTGTCGTATTAATAATCAAAGTTTGCTTGTCAAGGTGTAGTTTTAATTGTTGGTCATCGTTACATAGAACCTAAATAAGAACGGTCGGTCATTTAGTAATACAATATTTGAAATGATTGTATACAACGGTTTGACACCCATTCCAAAATTTCAGCTACTTATTAGCACATTTATTGCCATCATTAATGATAATTGTTACAATTCAATGTATTCATAAACAAGAATGGTAACAAAGTATCGATCCAAATGTTCATTGTTTATTTATTATTCGAATAGGCGTAGTAATCGAATTCAATTTATTTTTGATATCTGGAGCTGATCGATTATCATTCATTTAAAGATGAGTATTCATGAAAGTAATCATTTGAGGATTTTAAAATAATATTCTGCTTTTTGATTTAATTGGGAATGAATTAAAATTCGCAAAATCAAACTGAAATAATGTAGATAGTTTCTTTTTTATATGCGGATGAACCGAGCCCACTCAATGATCGTTAGTTATCAATTGTCGAGAAAAGTACTCTCTCAACAATGGTCATTAACTCACTCATTCCATGCTACAACAATAATGTTTATGATGGAAATTGTGGCCAAAATACATATTTATTTGAATGTATTGAAAATGGCATAATTGTTTTCGTATGCAAATGGCCTAAGCAATCATTTGACCTGTTTTAAAATTCGAATCAATAACATTGTGACTAAATTATTCTCAATATTTCAAAATTTCAACATTTTACATTCTATTTTCATGAACAATTTGCTTGATTGCAGTCACAGGTCAATATTTATGTCCATAAAACAAAAGTTGATAATCAGAGGTAAATGGTCATCGGTTATGACCAAAGTTCAAACGAAACATCTGTCATTCTAGGTCTTCAAATTGTTTGTGCATGGACACGTGGCAGGTGTGATTAAAAAAAACGACTATTACGGTAGCGCTGGGACCAACAAGGTATGAATTGGACACGTGTCTCGCAAGTAAGGATAGTAATTGTACTTTTTGTGACCACCTGTGGCCATTGTTAAAACTTCGATTGGTCATTCTGTAATAAGAATTGCTATTGTACCCAAAAATCAAGAAATAAATAAACGGTAACAGATGTCCTCGATGACGAAATTGGAAGAAATGTTGATGATCTTCAATCTTTGCTAGTCTAAAGATCGAAATCTGTGCACGCGTCATCGTTTGCATTTCGGCCATTGTGACCAGAACAAGGAATCATAATGAGTGGTCGGTGTCAATCACGGTTTATTTTTAAAATTTAAAAATTTATTTAACTATATAGTAAAAAAACATTAAGATGAAATTTTAACTATATGATGATTGCAAATAATACCAATGTTCAATGCATGAATTTATTAGGAAATTCTCCGGTAAAATAGCAATTAATGATGAGTTATATGTTTTTTAAAATTATTTGCTACATAAACCTGTATCAGACTACTAGTTTGACATTCACCGGTGTAAATGGCGATGAATGACAAACCAGAATGAAGCAACAGGATGATGGCTGCTTAATCGGCTCTATAAACATTGATTAATTGATATTTTGTTGTTGTATCTATATGAAGCAAATAATATCGTTTTTCAGGTATATCTTATTGAATGTAACATTATGACTGTACGCGAACAAGAGTTCAATGTCTTGAACATCATTTATCGAAATGTACATCCTTGAACGTGTGTTCGCATACGTTGATTAGGAAAAAAAGTTATTTCTAGGCAACAATGCTATGGTCGTAAAAAAAGTCCATACCTTCGAATCCTTGAATGTCATAGTAAGAAATGGATACAATTTTTGTGTTAAAAAGAACATAAACATTGAGAAAATTTCATTAACTTTGCTACAATTCAAACGAGAGGTATCGAAACATTATTTTTTTCATCATCATCGGCTATTACCATATTATTGTAATGAAAAGATTTAAAAAAAGAGTAAGTCAGCCAGACTAGATGAATTGAAATAAAAATTGATCTACGCAGATGTATCAATAAAATGGATACATTTGATTGTATCGTTTTAAGCATGCCTGAATAATCGACGTGATCACACATGATCATCATAGCTTTATTCCTTCATTGTTAATATCTTTATGGCTTTCAGATTTTTAATTTATTTATCTTGATAACAAAAAAATCACAAATCAGGTGTTCAAGTCAGTCAGTCAGTCATAAATTTTTCAAAATAATTCTTTCGCCGTCATCAGTGATGATGATGTGAATCTACATCAATCGGAAATCCGATATATATCAGCGTTCAACAGGGCCAGCATCACATTCATATATGATCAATAGCTTCAACGAAAGTTTCCAGTAACGAATATATGCCGAAATGAATACGTCATCATAGACAACATAGATCCATTGACGTCAAAATCACGCACACAAATATTCAAACAAACAGACATACGTAACATCAATTTCCAGTATTTTGTTTCATTTGCCTGTTTGTTCATAAATGATTTGTAAATTACGTCATTTGAAAATTTTTCATTATGTATACCTATTGGATTGATAGAATGGTGTTTGTATTATTTGATGATGGCAACAAAATATTAGATAGCGATTTCATTCGAATTTCGGACAAACAAACAAATTATCATCGATCATGTACTTTAATGTGAGGAAGCCAAATTTGAAAAACAAACGTCAGATCGATGGGGTTGAACATTGGTAGCAAAATGCCCCAAATCACCATTTTATAGCTTGTTCATAAAGAAAAAACAGTTATTTTTATCTAGTTGGGGGTACGAAAGATTAACTATGATGATAATACCTCAATTCAAAACAAAGTAAAAGCGAAAATAATAATCGACGAAGCCATTTTTGCGTCAGACAGTGCATCAGGAAAAATTACAGAGAAATTCGCATTTACCAACCTGATGCTGCCATCTATCTTTTAACAATCTTAAATAAATAATAAAATCACATACAATCACATTTCAAATTTGGCCATAATTCAACAAATTATGGAGAAAATACATTGATTTAATCATCGAAAAATGAAATGTTATTTTAAATCAGGAAGATTAGGCTTAGATGACCAATTAGCGGCGCCGGCCAAGGGATCCAAGGATTTGCCCGGCCAAATTTTGACCAGAATTTGAACCACCGTAGCCATGTTGCTGTCCTTGTTGTCCATAACCATGTTGCTGTCCGTGGCCATGTTGTTGACCATAACCATGTTGTGGACCATAACCATGTTGTTGACCATAGCCATGTTGTTGACCATAACCATGTTGTTGACCATATCCATGTTGTTGACCATAACCGTGTTGCCCGTAGCCTCGTTGACCATTTACAGAGCCTTGATTGCCATATCCTGCTGAACCAATGAATTGTGTTGAAGCAAAGCCAATCAAAGTTATCAAAAACAATAACATCACAAATCGATTCATGTTGTCAATTCAAAAAAATATTCGTTCGATTAAGTTTAGAGAATGAATTTCAAAATAAAAAACACTGTGAATTGGAAGTTATGGACGAGTTCAATTTCGAGCAGAGCTACTGAAAATCTTCAGGTAGAACAAAAGGTAGGGATAAGGGTCATAAGGCCAAAGGCTATGAACTTGTCCATTTCGCATTTCAGGTTACAATCATGAGCTCATTTCAAAGCTAGCGGCATTCGCAATTGTTACTATATCGAAATTGAAAGTACGAAGTAATGATGCTATTATTAATTCCGACAGATGACGTTTTTTACAGTTTTTTTTTGGTATGACACGTCCATTATGAATGCTGCTTTTGCCCGGGATTGTTCGTGTAATCATTATTATTTTGAGTAAAATTGTGATCAAAATTATGGCAACAATTAAAAAAACCGATTCATCTTCGAATTTAAGTAAACCGATGGCCTTAATGGTCAAATCCGCAATCGAACATCATAGTGATGAACGTTATGGACCATCATTGGCTGCAATTAAGAAGTTTTTGATCGAACATTATCATGTTGATTTGAAAAAGAAAGCGTCACTTTTACGACGTCATCTTGAAACTGCTGTTGCCAAAGGCGATTTGATCCGAACAAAAGGAGTAGGAATGAACGGTCGTTTCAAATTGGCTAAAGTAAAACAACCCAAATCGAAAATGGCTAAAGTTACCAGCAATAATGATTTCGATCCTGTATTGACAACCTCATCAAAAAGAACCGAATCGAAACCATTGGTCGAAGCTCAAAAGAAAATGATAATTGTTAAATCGAAAAAGGAAACTGCGAATAAGAAAAAAGCTAGCCCTATCAAAAAGAAATGATTGAAGTAGAATTGAACATAAAGTCACGAACATGTGATTATTAAAATATGTTTGTCACAAAATAACATTGAGAATTACAATAAATTATTAGACAATTTTCAATTAATAAAATGTTTTTTCCAGATTATTCCAGTATAAAATCTGAACGATTGAAATGGCAATGATCACAGCCATCAAAATAATGGTGCCCCATTTGATGAGTAGAATAAGAAGCCAATTTATACGTAAAACTCGAATGACTTTAATGGTAGCATAGAATATAAATAACATCACTTGTAAGGTGATAATGGTCCAATGGAATGAATGAATTGGCCACTCAAATGCTGACCAATCCATAAGACTTTGTATGGTTTCTTGAATAGTCGATTCCAATGTTGACAACACCGATAGCACAATGCTTATGATCGAATTAAGGATGGCTGATGTGTAGAGAACAATTTGCTTGACGATTTCGGTCAATGGATTGGCGATCGTTGAAGAATGGATTCCTATTCGCGTCTTTGGTTCAAATTGAGAAAAATCTTTATCAGACCATGACAACGTATAGAAACGATTCCAATCGCTACTCTGCTTGATATAATCCAGTTTAATGTGTTTGTACCAAGGTTTAATTTTCAGCCATAATGTTTTCTGATAGAGCGAATAGGAACCGATCGATTGCCAGAATCCGGTCACCATAGCATCCACGATTGGATGTATCATTTGCATCATTTCGTTGCCATTAGTATCCAAGTTGAATGTTTGAAGCAAATCCAGATTGGCCATGGGGAAATATTTCGATTTCGATTGTATCATGATACGCAAATCTGAAATTCTAGGACATGAATGTTCAATTGACGATTGAAAATATAGCCATTCCTTTGGATCGCTTTGAAGTGTATGATTTAAACGGATGTATGGACAACGTTTCGGATTGAAACTGCCAAACAAATTTGATTGCATTTCCATATCAAGTTGATAATCCAATGTGAAAAAGTCGCCAAATTTAGATTTCATTTTAGCTTGATAATAATCAAAATGACCATCGTCAGATGTCGCAACACGTTCAATCCATATAATCATCGGGACAGGGAGAAAACCATTGGCCACGGGCAATACAAGTTGTGAATTGATTTCAATTTGTTTCCATTTGTTGTTGTTTGTATTGTAGGTTTTTGTTTCACTGATTACTTTTATCGTTGCATTCATATCGAAATGATTCGTAGTTTGTAAATAATATTCATTCACTATGAAATTTTTGCTTTCGGAAAAGTTGATTTGTTTATGTACGAGCATTAAGTCGAATTCGATCAAAAACAATGGTAACGATAATTGAAGATGATATTCGCCATTCTCATTATTCACTAAACCTGAGGTAAGATTTGAATGGAACAATTCAAATCTCACGAACACAGAACTGGAATCTGAATCGATTGTTGATTTTGTTGAGGATGATGATTGGTTAATTATGGAAATGATGATTACCATTATCAGGGTTACGTGATAACGATCCATTGTTTTTTTTTATTAATATCCTGGTCTTTATGGTCAAATAGCATCAATTAAATTATTACATGAATAGTGCTTTGGGAAAAATGACCAATTTTTGTAAATGGTTGAAAGCAAAACGGCATGGCAAGACAACGCAAAACTCGTTTTTTCAGTGTTCTGTCCTTGAAACAATATAAGTTTGTCGATGAAGTTTATTTATGACCGACCAACTACATTGAAAAGTTGAATGTCATCAACAACATCTACACTCATCTTTGTAAGGAAACTATGAATTGCATCAAATAAAAAGCTTAATGACCAATGTTCCAATCGTCATTCAATATAGTCAAGTTGGTCGCAATGGTTGTTAGGGGAAATAATTCGAACATCAGCTACTGATGTGACTATCAGTAATTAAACGTGGGAATATTCACACGAAAAAATTGTTGCTAAGATTATTTTTAGTAGAATTGATCTTTTTTTAAAAAAAATGTTTTTATTTCATTCTAATGGAATCTTTACAATTCATTATACAATAAAAACTAATTGTATGAGATAATTTGCTCTTGATTAATTCATTCCTGCTGTTGTTGTTGTAGAAACCAGTGAGTTTTTCATATCATCAAGTAGTTTTTGAAAAAAAGTGAGCAAAAGATTCATTTCATTTTCCATTTTTTGTACAAGATAAGTTTCTAATTGGTTCCAATCGTTTCGTGCATGATAATAATCGTTATTATTTTGTTTTGTTTGACCTAAGATGATGATTTGATTGTTCACTTCGTCCTGAAGAAATTCAAACATTTGATCTGTTTTATTGGTTAAATATTGATCAAAATGATCATACAGCATAATCAATTGTGCTTCCGAACGATAGATATGGTCTTCGACAAAACCAAATAATAATTGATCATATTCTTTACGGAAATTTGGAGATTTCGGCGGTACCGGCCAATCATGATAATTATAATTATCACCAATTGCCGCAATAGCTTCGATTTGAATATGATTGGAATTTGTTTAATTAAAAGTTATTTTTTTGAACAAGAAAATGTCTTATATTTCAACATACCAAATAGTAGAACAATGCAAGAAAATAAAGTTAAAGTTGTCTGATTCATTCTGAATGTTGTTATTTATTGGATTGTAATTCAAATGAAAGAAACGACGAAAAAAAACAAAGACGTGGGTATTTATTTCAAATACTTTTATTTTTCATGTTTGATTGCAATGTCATTATCGACAAAACAACACTCGAAATTGATACCTCTTGAATGGATTCCAAGTTTTAATTTAATTGTTCAATTGATATTGATTGGATTTGAATGGCAAGAATCTGTGTAATTTTTAACCTTCGTTGTGCATAAAGCCTATCTTATCATCAAGTACTTTTTATATTATCTATTTAAAATTTGGCTCAAAGAAATCCTATTTTTCTGTCATTAAGCTTGAAAAGGATTTTAATTGCAAAATTTATTTTTTTCACAACTATTAACGTTATTATCATGAATGAGAACGTCAATGAGAAAAAAATCCCTAATTGAAATTCTCTCGAATTTTTTTTCAACTTTTCATTCATTACTGACGAAAAGAATTTCGGAATAAAATGTTTCGTTAGCAGCTTTGAAATGGTTTTGACATACACATACAAATGTGGTATTCATTAAGGATATGAATGTTCCATTTCAGGTGTCAGGTGTCTTTGATGCTATTTTTTTCTTTTAAATCTTCAAACTCATGAGACATGAAAATTAATTAAAAATTAGGCAAACAAACATTGAATAATGTATAATGTTGGTACGCAATTTTAAAATTCCTGATGAGCATTCGTTTGTTGTTTGGTTGAATTGAATAGATTTACTATATTTAGCTAAGATTTCAACCGAAAAAAATAACCACCGACCCATGTATATATCGCGTGTCAAACAACAAAAGAGAATGAAAAAAATTGAATAAAAGTAAAAAATGGCAAACAACAAATCCTCATATTTCACAAAACCCAACTGCAACTGACGACCATATTTTTTACTATAAAAATTTTCATTTTTTTAAATTTGGATTTTACAATGAAAATTATTTTGCGGCATACACATTATGCTTCATGAATTTCATGATGCACAGGTTTTTTGTTACAACAGAAACGGTCCATTTTATGACCATAGAAATTTAATGCACAAGGTATTTGCACTTGGATGCACACAGATTCATTCACTCACACACACAAACACAAGATTAATGAACATGGCCTAAAATAGATTCAATTTAATATTCAAAAGCAACTATTTTATGAATAATGAATATTCTTCACTAACTATAGATTCTATCGAAAATTGTGATTCTGACCCACGTTGTATATATTATGAACAAATCGTAATCATAAAATTGATGATGAATAACTTAATCAAATGGATATGATTGTAATGTTAAGACCAGTCTATTTAAATTAGGCAGGCCGACTGGCCACCTTGATGAACATCATCATCATCATTGGTTGATTGATTAAATTAGATATTATAAGTATAAGCTGAAATGGAGAAATTAATCCTAACTTAATCAAGTTGAACACACACACACACACAAAAATACATTGAATTCGTATTCACAATTTGATCGAATTTTGATTGTCAGCTTCAACTTTCTTGTTCGATTCAATACAGCAATGATGGCAATTGGTCTACGAATCAATCGAAATGATGATGATCGGAATGTAATGAAAACGCCGCGATACTACTCCTCCTTCTTTTTCTTATTATTTGCCACCATGATCATCATTTCAATTTCAATTTTCACAATCAGCATTGACAACAGCATCGATTTGATTCAACATTCGGCTAAATCAAGCGGAATTTTTTTTCAATCAATCGTTCTATTTACAATTTTTTTTCATTTTGAATTGCCTGAATGTGTTGAAGGAAAATACCAACAACTAAAATCAAGAATCTTTTCTTACTTATTATTATTATAAGGCTTCTTGTTTTTGTATCAATATTTCATGCTGGATAACAATCACAATCTGATTCTAACCTGGAACATGTTTTAGCATTTTTGTTGAGCTCATCTGCCATTTGATAATGATATACTGAAGAGTCTGAATTTCATTGAAATATATTTTCAAGTGACCATTCTCCTGAGTGTATTTGATTTAGGCTCCGTTTTTTTCTGATCAATATCAAACATTGTATCCTTTTATTCAAGTGTTGCGTTAATAATCGTCAATTGATCAATCAACTTTTTGCTTTTTGAAGAATGAATTCATTTCCTCTAAAAGTCTAAAAACAAAAAATCGCTCTCAGATATTATGAATCGAAAAAAAAATTGGGAGACTAGGCAAAATTTTGTAATATTTGGCATCAAATCCATTTAATGGTCAAGAATGTGAAAGCTAACATATAAATTTGATTATATATTGAAGCCCCTTTTTTGGATTTTTTTTCTGTTTGAGATCGATAAATTTCGTATCATGCTTTTATATGGCTTTTTAGATTTTCGAACCAACTATATTTACTATTGCCATATTTGCGTTTGTCGTCAATTTTTTTCGTTTATTATTATTATTAGATTTTCATATATACGAATCATTTTTCATGATGAAGACGATAATATTGATGACAATTCGAATTATATTGCATTTGAAATTAGAATCTTGTTTGTCCGCATTGAAATCCATATTTGATATTTGCCATGTCAGGTCAACGCTATGTGTTTGTATAAATTGTTTGTTTGTAAATAAAAAAAAAACATAGATCTAAGCCAGTGATTCTCAACCTTTTTGTTGTCGCGGCACAATTTTAGAATTTTTGAATATATAACAGTTGCATTTTCAGAATTTCGCGGCACACTAAAGTGCCGCGGCACACTGGTTGAGAATCACTGATCTAAGCTTTAAAAAGCTCCTATTGATTGAGTTGGACATTATTTATTGATTTCATTTGCTATTAATTCAATAATGAAATAGCAATATAAACCGTTCAAAGTGATGATGGTTCATATTTTCATTGTGTGTGTGCGTATTATCGTCGAACTGGTGATAAAATAATAATACAATAACGACGGTAGATATTTTTTTTCCAAGGATTACATTGTTGGAATTGAAAAAGAAATGGCAGCCACCACTAAATCAATATCAAAAATCACAAAAAGATTAAGAGAATAATCATCTTGCTGTATATAAGAAAAAACTAGATCAAAATCATTGACCATTGAAAATTTTTGCAATTAATATCAGCACATATCATACGAAAATTAATTAAGAAAAGCTAAGCATTGTATATTAAGATTTTGTCAAAGCTTTTTTCTTTATTAAACTTTTTTTTTGGAATGAATTATTTTAATGACAATGATTATTTCGGTGAGTATATATGTGTGTGTGCATCGTTTGCATGTTATCAGGCTTACTTACTAACTAACTGATGATATAATTCGTGCATACTGACGAGAAAACTCATTTATTTTATGTGCATTTATTGAAACTTGTGTTGTTCCAAAGTAAAGCGATTACATTATTTCAACTTGATTCTTTTTGCCTTTTTTCCCAAATTGTTTGGGAACTTTTGAAGATTTTCTCGGATGGGCACTGATGAATTTGCATATTACATATATTGTATATGGCTGCCTTTTTTCCGCCATCATCGCCGAATAGAGGATTCATATTATTATGAATGAAATACGAATGCAAAAACATTTCTTATATGCATATATGCAAAGTTTATTATTTAGGAATAATGAAAATGGAAATCACTCTCGTTTCCTATGCAATCATAGAAGTTCATAACACGATAATTTCAGAAAAAGTCTTCTGTATCAAATATTGTTGTGTACGAACTAATTGTTCTCGAATCGATTGGCTCTATTCGTTAATATTTGCATAAAAAAGTCTAGTTTTATTATCATGATGCAGGAGATTGTAAATTTATGGGCAAATTTTTCTCAAATTTCAAGTCCATTTTTTTGCCAACAATTCATAATTTTCTTCTTTTTTTCTGATGGTAATAATGATGGTCGAATCGACTCCATATGCATTTGGCAGCCTACAAATTACAAAATTAAGGAATGATTAGTGAAACTGCATCATATCATGTTAGCTCATTATTTAGCCGCATTGTTTTCCGAGTTGAAAAAAAAGAACCACAAACCGAATTGAGTGTATACATTGCAAATTATGTCCGCTTTAATCCAATCATTTGTTTAAGTGCAATTAATTATAGAGCAATTAGTTTGAACCAAATGTTGTATTATGTAAAGAAAAGACAATAAATTAGGCGAGCGGTCGCCAAACTTCTTCGCTTAGAGATCGTATTTATGATTTAAGAAAAACTGTCACTTTTATTTAATGTTAATTATGAAGATAACTAAATCTGACAATGCCGGTTATAAGTCTGAACATGTGACAAAACAAATGGCCTTAATTTATTTGCCGTCCGTGAAAGATCATCAAATAGATTTCAAATAGATAAGGAATTTTTTTGCTGATAAAGTAACATCGAAGGTAATTAAAATGGATTCTAATGCATTATATCTTCGATCATAAATCTATAAAAAAACCACTACCTTAGCAACTGATCAATGATGGCTGCCATAGGCACCATTGATAATATAAGCAAAACGCCACTCGATTTATTTGAGCAAAAGATTGATTGTTTACAGATGTGAATTGGAACAAACCTTATCGAACATTATCTTATTTGAATGAGAATGATGATGAATAATTGGACAACTTCGGCATTGATGCTGACAATATTTTTATTTGCCGCTATGAAATTGGTTGTTTGCAATGATGATGAAATTGATTGTTTATCTCATAATTCATCATGCGAAGCCTGCGTAAAATATGACCTACGATGTTATTATTGTGCTGATGATAATCAATGTCATGAATGGAAAGGAATGGATGGACAATGTAAACACAACAGCTATTGGCGTACCTGTAAATTAAGGGCTAATATTTGGATCACAGTGTTGATCATATTGTTCAGTTTGGTCACCATCTTATCGGTCATATTGATTATTTGGTGTTGCTGTATTGGGCCTTGTTGTCGCCGTTTTCAACAAAGACAAATTGATAGATGGGATGAGGCAAGACGATCGATGAATAACATGCATCAAGAACGACAACGTTCACGACAACAACAACGAGACCATTTTCGTGCCAAACATGGTTTAACTAAAAGTGATACTACTAGCAGCCAATACACACGTTTTTCCTGATTAAATTTGGCATTCAAGTTTTTGCAATTTTAACACATTTTCCCGTAAATTCAATAAAAATACAGTTCTTTAATTATCATGTTTCAAGCGCATTATTGATTGCAGAAACATGAAGATCTTCGCGTCAACTTTTCTTTTTTTAGCTGCATTTGTGATTCAATTCTCGATGATTCAAACAAATTTTAAACAGCAATTTCATGATGAACAAATCGAATTAAAACGACAACGTAGAGTTTGGAATGGTCGTAATCCTTCACCCAAACGATGGAAATTTATGGCAGCTTTGTTTAAATTTGTATTCAGATCAGAATCTGGTAGTCCTATGCCTAGAATTCATTGTTCAGGTGTGATTCTCAACGAATACCATATTCTTACAGCTGCTCATTGTGTGTATGTGTCGGTGTGTATTTAATGTCATTGATCTGTTATGACTTCCTTCCTAGATACAATCAATCGTGGCAGGATTTCTACATATTGGTCGGTAGCCATTCATTGTATGAATCATATCAGAATCTGGATAATGTACGTCAAATTCATTCGGTAAAGGTAAGGTCTTGGTGACATTAATTTGTGCATCATTCATCCGAATGTTTTTTTTTCTCTTAGATTCACGACAAATATCTACCGACACGTAATGGATTTTCTCCGCACGATATTGCCATAATTAAGCTACATGAACCATTCATGTTTGACCGTTATATAAGTCCAGTTTCAATGCCAAATTTTTCTGATCCTCACAGTAAATTTTGTTACATATTGGGTTATGGAAAGGAGAAAAGTAATGATCGTCGATTTGCCCGTCTACGACAACTAAAATTGCCTATGATTGAGCCGCATATATGCGAAAGAATATCACGATCAAAATTCAATCGTAACTATCAACTTTGTGCTGGTTATGTCCGCTATCGAGATCTAGATCATTGGCTTAGTCCAAAAATAGTTTCCGAAGGAGACTCTGGTGGTGCCCTCATGTGTCGACTTAAATTACAGAATATAACACAGAGCTATGTTTTGATTGGTTTGGCAACAGGTGGTAAACGACCCAAACGGTACAAACGAGTAAATAGCCTTTTTATCAGCTATTTTGCTCAGATAAAATTCCACTTGAAATGGATTCGATCACATTCAAAAATCGGATCTATTTCTTTGAAAAATGAATAAATGTAGTTGCTTATCTAATTCTAATAAATAGTATACATTTGATACATTGTTCTTTTATGATTAAATTGAAGGACGTCACTTTTGATTCGGTTATCATCGTGCGATTGATTTAATTACATTAAGGGAATTTGTGTGTGTTAAGAATTACGATTCACAATCTTTGATTCCTTTGATGCAGTAAATTTTATACGATTCTGATGATTTCTGATTATGTTGCCAACCAATTCAATTATTATTGTTAGCCATGATAATGTTGATGATGATAAGTTGCAATAAAGCATAGATTCATTTGTTCATTTTTCATTTACGATGATCCGCCTTATAGTACAAACATAGAGGCATTCAACCATTAATTTTTTTTTTTTTTGAATCAGCCTTTTCAATGTTTCATTCGACAACAATAAAATTCTACTTTGAACATCAATGTGATCAATGTGAGACGGTTCCATTTTAGAAAAATCATGTTTCCATTCCGTGTTTTGTTTTTGGATGAAATAAGATTCTTTCAAATTGTTAGTCCAATCTTGTGTTCATCATCATTTTCAATGATGCACTTGATGCGGGTGGTCTATGATTTCTTTTCAGGAAAAAAGAGAAAAAACCTCTGACCTTTTGTTTTTGATTTAAAATTTTTTTATTTTTATTTTAAATGAATGTGTGTGTGTGTGGTCATTTCGTAGTGTTATATACGACGGATGTCAGAAATGATTAAAATGACAGGATTGAATATTATTATTATAGTCATTGTTTTCAATTAATTTAACCTATATTTTTTTCATTGCATGGATTAACAAAAATAAAAAAATCATTTACTTGATGAGATGAACAAATTATCTAACTTGTTTGGCCAGTGAAAGTTTTTTTTTTAAAAAAAAGCTTATTTCCAACTAAGGATCTGTGTTACAAAATAATAAAAACACCTCTAGTTTTTATATGGCTGTTGAAGTTTGATGAGTTGGATGAAAAAAAAGTTTTCAACTCCTGTAATAAGTTGAGTCCATTGATCTAGATCTAGAACTTAATTATACTTGTTTAGTCCGTTTTTTTTCTTGCTTGCAATTCTGGCCCAAACAAAATCTAAGTCAATCTCTACTGGAATCATTCAATGGCTCAATCAGTATTTGCAAAAAAAATTTTTTAACAAAACTACATGTTCTCAATTTCATTTGTTGTTTCGGATGATGATGATCATTAGTTATCATTAGACCTTGGTTTGGCCATGTTGCAAAGACAGTCAAGAAAAAATATGGCGGTGTTCATCAGACCCAGCAGCAGCAATAATCAAACATTGTAACCAGGGGAAGCCCATCCGTCCTTGTCCTGTGATTGGAGGTTATGTCTGTTTATTGTTCGAGTTCTGACCTTTATCTCAATAGATTGCATTCTCACGTAGAATAAAATAATTTAGACAAAGGTCAAAGGTGATTGAAAACATTCATTGTTTAGCCAGGTAGATTTTCACATTTATTATTCATTCAATATACACAAAAACACACCTATAGCATATAGCCGTTTGATTACTGTGTCTGTTTCTTGCCCAAAGCAAAAGTAAATTTTTTGTGAATTGCTTACCTTTTTATAATCATGAAAATCTGAATGTCTTAGATGTATGATGGTAAAAATGAACATAAATAAATAACTTAAAACGCCTTTTCCAAATTCTGGTGAATTTTAGAACGATTTACATTTTTACATGATTCCAAATACCTGCTACAACAATAATAGATGCACGATCCAATGAGATGGTGCTGAATTTGTTGCAAAATATATAGATATGATAGATTTCCATTTGCTACTACCAAAGAATTCTCTAATAAGGACATTCTTTCAACTGCTAGCAAGTTGATGATGTATAGATTTTCTATTTCAAAAATTTTATGATATTAGCATCTTAAAAGGTTGAATGGCCGTTTTCCATGGCCATTGATGATTGTGCACCACTACGACCCGAACATGTTGTGTGTGTGTGTGTGTTTCTCTCTTTTTTCGTAGTTCCTTTATATCTGGTATTCGTTCGATTCGTTTCGAGCTGTCGTTACACCAATCATCAGAATGATTGTAGCATTCGATGTAAGATGTACTATTATTATTCGAATTATTATTGTTTTTACATCTTCGTCTTGGTTGCCCGGCGCTGGCCATCTGTTTCCAGGTTTCCCGCCATCAACCATTCTTAACTATAGTGAATTTCGTGAAAAATTTTGTGTACTTTTTCTCTTTTTCGTTTACATCGTGTGCATGTGTAAAAGTGGCCCCATGTTAAGTTGGTCGTTGTCGTTTGTTTCAAGTATCACGAATAAATTTTTTTTTTTTGTTGTGTATATATGTTTGGAACATTTATGTTGGCAAAATAAAGTGATCGAATATATCGAAGGCATGTATAAATAATTTGATCAACCAAATCCGAAAAAAAGGACATGCAGTTGATTATTTTCATCCATTGACAACCTGGTCCCATTTATCTCTTTTTCTCTGTCCATGTGAATCTGTGAATGTGGTTTTGACATAGCGAAATGGTGAATCCTTATCGAACATTGATAACTGATGTTAATGCACCATAAATCAGTCAAATCAAGTTTATTCTCTCGTTCATCATGATCGAATTTTTTGTTTCAACCAACCATTTTCGACGATCTTGAATCTATAGATTTAATCTAATAATTCGCAAAATCTAGCCTGGAAATTATCTCCATTGGCTCAAAAGTTTATTCGATTTTATTAAACAAAACAAAAAAACATTGGTCGCTTGTTTTACATGGACCATATCAACTTTTATATTTATTTTCATATTGAATGAAAAAAATGAATGAATTTCGATTGTATCCACATGGCATCTCTAACTAAAAAGAAAATAACAAATTCCATTAAAATGGAAAAGTTTTCCATATCTTTTCCTAATGCATCACTCATATTCTTTGACAGAATTTGTATTGATTGACCCTAACGATTCATGTGTATTTTTGTGGTTGAAATGATTATCAATGAATCGGAAATAGATGAGATCTTTCATCATCATGTCCATATTCTCCTTCTTTTTTTTGATTTAAACTGGATTCACTCGGTCTATTGTATTGTAAAAAAAGTTTTTTTTCTGTCAAGCCTGTTATAAAAATAACTATAGTTATTTTTATTTATTATTACAATAAAAATGAAGTGAATCTTTGTTAAATTTTGAACACACACGCAAGCATAGAGAGTGTTGTTATCTATGAAAATAAAATTATATTTTCAAGTTAAGGTGCCATACCTGTTCCAAATCGGAAATATTGATACATATTTCTGTCCATAATAAATTACTGGTCACGCAACTAAACAGACAAAAAAAATTATTATCTGTTTTTTCTTTTTGAAAAAAATTCATTGAATCAAGAATAAGAATGTCTTTTTTCGAATTCACTTGGTCGAATCGAATCGAATCGACAATAATCATTTCACTATTTTTTTCAACTAACACATTTATATAATCCCTTTGATGAGAATATAGAAATTTATAGTGAATATAAATATTGAATCATAAATCATCGTATTGTAAAATTTCATTTTATCGTCATTGGATAATAAATGCGATTGTTTCAAATCTATAGAATCATTTTATCTTTAACATTTTCCCATTTTTTCCATAAAAACAATACATAATTGATGAATAAAGTGAGGCCACAAAGTTTTTTTTGAAGGTTCATAGATTTGAGATAATTTACAATGGCACCTCACTTACCCGAATCATAATGATTGCTATTCGATTGATATGATGATAATATTACCACTAGACTCATCATTGTTTATAAATTTTGTTTCTATCGTTACAGAATCATTCGATCAACATCATCCATTTTCAGTCGGGAAATTGAAAAAAAAACCTGGAAATTGAAAAGCAATAACAAAAAAAAAAATCATCATTTTACGATTTCTATGATGATGATGATCATCATCATCGTCGTTAAAAGTTTTTGTCTCTAAGAAATGGATCGATCAATCGATCGATTTTGGTCGAACAAAATAAACGAATGAATGAATGAATGAATATTCACAGTTATATGAAAACTATTTTGATTTCAATAAAATATTGGATCTACACTTAAATAAAATTCGACTCAACTCAACTCAACTCAACTCGAATACGGTTTTTGTCACGAACGTGCCTCGATATATATTTCGTTTGCTAATATATAATAATGATGATGATGATCACCAGTCTGTGTTTAGTATTCATATGTGTTTGTGTTTGTGAATAAAGATTGGCCACATTGATAGATATTATCATCGACATCGGTCAGCAAAAAAACAACAACAACAACAACAAAAAAAGAAAGATAACGCGTCACATGAAAAATGATAGTTACTTGTATTCAGCTCATCTCATTCGCTTATCTAAACGATTTAAAATGGTAGCCCAAAATGATTGATCGATTTTGTTTCATCCAGTAAAATATGTGACCAATCTGATGACCGGATTTTGTTTTTAATATACCTTTCTTCCTTTCATCAAACAAATATATCCCTTGTAACCCTTATTATGTTATGCATCATTTCCGTTTGATTCCCAAACTTTCTCTTGTTTGTTGTGTTTTTTCCTTTATGTGACAGTATGTGGTCGGTGAATGAAGCTAGAATTAATCAAGATTATTTTTTGTTATTTTTGTTTTTAAAGTTTCTTCGTTTGTTTTTTTCTTCAACGACAAACATCACTTGTCTACACTATTTGAAGATGCTATGATTCTCTTCTTTTTTTTGTTCTCTACATTTTGAGTGTATGTTCCATAATCATCATATTGAATAAAAGAGACAAATACACACATACGCATAACTGGATCATGAAACAAGACCTATTGTGTGTGTGTGTTTGTGTTTTTTGTTTGTTTGTTTGTGATCAAACTGGTTTCCCTACTTGAAAAACACAGTATATGGATAATATTTTCTATTTTTCATTCATACTTTTCTTTAAGTCCAGAAAAGATAATATGGTTTGTGCATCAATGGAAATTTTTTTTCCTGTCCGACATTGATCATCATCAATCAAACAGCTAACAACCAAACGATGACATTTGTGCTTTTTTCTTTGTCTATTTATGTGTTTATTAATCAAGCAACATTCTAATTATCTATATTCCTGCATAATTGTTTTCGTTCTAAAATGAATCCACATTTCACATTGTCAAGATTTAAAAAAAACAGATCATTGAATCTATTCAATTGACAATGATAACAATAAATTCATCAATGTCCAAATGCTCATCATTCTTTTGGTTGGACATAAAATGTCCACCTATTTATGAAACGTTCATCGTGTGTCATTAGTTGTTTTCATTTATTGTTTATGTTTCGAAAATTATTGTTGTTATTTTTTCTGTTAATATCCAAAATGGCTAAATCAATTAAGCCATTCGACCATCATATTCGAATTCATCGTTTTTTCATTCCAATATCTCTGTTATTAACTTGTTGTTCAACAGCATGGGCACTCAGATTATACATACCAAGTGAACATAATTATGCCGGATCTTTACTTTTCAATGTATCATTAGATCAACCTCGTCTATATCGGCTATCGTCATCAGATTTAAACGCTCCATATGTACATCGATTTTTTGATATAACAAATATCGAAGGAATTCTTTATATTAAGCAACAACTTCGTTGTCGCTCTGAATCATTATCCGAAGTGCTACCCACACCTGTAAATCTTTACATTGAATCCAAAACATTCCTTATCGATGGTTCAGATCAAAATCATCTTACTTTGATACCGATTCATATTGAATTCGAACATGAAACCTGTACAGGAATTGATCATCATCAATCAAATTTTGCTAATTTATTATATTTTTCTGATGAATTACATTATCATCGTGACTATTTAAATCCAGAATTTTTATTTCATAATGAACCAAATCCACAATTTTACAGTTCGTTAGCTGAATCAATTAGTGAAACGAACGTTTTATTGACCATCCAAGATGATGGCCTATGCGTTGATCGATATCAATTCTTAACTCGTTTGCCAAAATTTGTATCATCTAACGTGAAATCTTTTTGTACAACATATTATCATGTGTTAGGCGCAACTACCGTCGACACGATGCATTATGATTCAAATCTTGAATTTCGAATCGAACATTCCAACCAAGATCTTATTTCGACAAAAAGGTATTGCTTACCAAATGGACGATCATTCGATGTACAAATCGGTTTGGTCCATTTATGTGATAATAGCCATCATCATTTTCATCAAAATAATCATCATTCATCAAGCCATAATCATACATGGCCTAAATATTCATTCAATGAAAATGTTTCAACATCAGTAACTCCGTCCAAATCTCATACTTACGTCAAACCGATGAGCAGCATCGAACGTTTGACACTGACATTTTATTCAAAAGATTTCGACACAGAAGAATTTATGAGCAAATTAACCGAACGTCGAAAACAGTTTCATCATAGTAATCATCAATCTGGTCGATCTAGACGAGAAACTGTCTCGTCAAGTAATTCTGGTCCATCATTTGATAGATCATTGTACATAGTGAGCGTACCCGAAGAAAGAGAAAAATCGTTTGTTGTTACCCAACTGGTTGCTACACCAGGACGACCTGCCGAATCCGAATCATCTGAGCTATTATATTCAATGTCTGCACTGATTGATGCGCGATCGCAATCAATGTTTGCAATCGATCCTGTCAGTGGATTGGTTACGACAACCACACGTTTAGACCGTGAATTTATGGATGTTCATTATCTTCGAATCACCGTGACTGATGGTAACGTTCCACCCCGAACAACATCAACGACACTTCAAATTAATGTTCTTGATGAAAATGATCATGTTCCGGTATTCGAGCATGCCAACTATGAAGCATCACTCCGAGAATCGGCTCCACTAGGTACAACAGTTTTGACCATACGTGCTACCGATCATGATAGTGGTCCAAATGCCGAATTAGAGTATTCTATTCTCAATCCGACCGGTGTTAATGAAGCTTTTCGTATAGATCCTAAACAAGGTGTTATCACAACACGTGCCGGTTTAGATCGAGAAAAGAATGATCTTTACACCTTGACTGTACAAGCTTCAGATTCTGGAGCAGTTCAATCGCGAAAACGTTCTCATACTACAGTTGGTATTAAGATTCTTGATGAAAATGATAATTATCCTCAGTTCGCCGAACGTTCGTATTCAGTGTCCGTTGATGAAGACGTTAATTATGCATCTAGGCCGGTCATAATCCGTATATTGGCTCATGATGCTGATGAAGGTTTAAATGCCGCCGTTAGATATTCAATCATTGGTGGCAACACAGCAGCATTATTTCATATTGATTCGCTTAATGGTGAAGTTGCTGTTGTTGGTCCATTAGACTATGAAACTGCTCGAAGCTACCGATTAGTGATACGAGCTCAGGATGGTGGCAGTCCACCACGTTCCAATACCACGCAATTATTAGTTTCTGTCATCGATAAAAATGACAATGAACCTCGATTCTATACAACATTGTTTCAAGAAAATGTGATGGAAAATGTACCGATCGGTACCAGCGTTGTACGCGTTCAAGCTTATGATGCTGATGATGGTGATAATTCTCAACTTAGTTATCACATACAACGATCATCAAATGAAGAAAGCAGTGATCGAACTGCTGCATCGATGCCGATCGATATTGATTTGTCGAGTGGTTGGATAATAACCACAAGGGAATTGGATCGTGAAGAAGAATCGCTTTATGAATTTACTGTCATCGCACGAGACAATGGCTATCCAATTCAGCATTCAGCTTCAGCATCGGTCATCATACAAGTGCAAGATATGAATGATAATGCACCTGTCTTTGAACCGAGGAATTATGAAACAGTGATTTCAGAAACTGCTGCTCCTGGAACGCCAGTTGTTATCGTAACCGCCACAGATCGTGATGAGAATTCACGTTTAGTTTTTCAAATAACTGGTGGTAATTTGCGTAACCGTTTTGCAATCGTTTCGCAGAACAATCAAGGTCATTTGACGTTGGCTAACCCTTTAGATTATAAACAGGAAAGAAACTATGTGCTGACAATATCGGCAACCGATCCAGGTGGAAAAATGGATTTGGCTACAGTTTATATAAATGTAACCGATGCCAATACACATCGTCCTGTGATTCAAGTTCTCAAAAATAATGGCAGTCCTTTTTCGCCAACATTGACAACGATTGCTGAAGATGCACCTATTGGTACTACTGTTTTAGTCGTCGAAGCAATCGATGATGATGTTGGTGAAAATGCACGAATAACCTATTCGCTCAATGAAGTGCCCGAATTTCGAATTGATTCAAACTCTGGTGCCATCACAACGGTCAAAACATTAGATCGTGAAACGACCGCCGGATACACACTAATTGTAACAGCACAAGATAATGGCATACCACCGTTGTCCGATATAGCTAATATTGAAATCGAAGTAATTGATGTAAATGACAATGTGCCTCTATTCGAACAACAACATTATTCAGCAACTGTGATGGAAGATGCGCCTATCGGTACATCCGTCTGTCAGGTTCGAGCTTCTGATCGTGATCTAGGTCTTAATGGTCAAGTTCGTTATGAATTCGAAATGATTGACAATGATGTTTTACAACATCAACATCAACAACAATCTCTCGATATAGAATTATCATCGCTCGGGGTATTCAGTATTGATGCTACGTCCGGTGTTATACGGACAAATCGTACATTGGATCGTGAAACGATCGCTAAATATGATTTAAAAGTTATTGCCTTTGACCGTGGTTCCCCATCATTATCATCATCAGTCATCGTACACATAACCATTGAAGATTGTAAGTATCAATTCTTTTTAGCAAGTGAAATTAATCTTCTTATAAATAAAATGCTTTGTGTTCATTGTGTGATTAAATTCCATTGTCGATGAATTATTCATTCCTTATTTCAAGCTTCTAGTTTTTGTTTAATTATTTTATTTCAAAAATAAGTTTGCAATTTCTCTTTCCGGCTTTATATTTGGCAATTGAATAACAAATAATCAAATAAAGATATGTCGAATTGTTAGTTGCGCATTTCTTTTGTTGCAATTCAATTGTAATTTTACCACAAAAATGTCGAATTCGTTTGCCGAAACAATAGATGTAAAAAAAAAATAGAAACAAGTGTAGAAAACCTGTCGTCGACATGTATGCTAACCGAATCGAATGTGAGAGAGTGTAATAGGATAATAATAATGGGAAAAATTATTAGACATGAAAAAAATCGAACCTAGCCTTTTTTTCGGGCAGCGAAATCAGCAATCCATGGTCAAGAAGCAGGTTTTTTCCAACTTATCCTTCACTATTTTAGATGATTGGTTAGATTTAATTAGGTTTAGAACTCGAGAAAAAACCATCCATTCGTTTTGGTTCGTTGACTACAATGATGACCAAATTAGGATTTTTCAGGTTTCAATCCGAATATAATCGAAATAGTGAGGATAAAATTTTGATGTACATAAACATTCACTATGTGAATGCTGAAACAAACACTGTGATCACGATCCTATTCGAATGTTTTTGATTGAAATGGGTTGGATATTAATCAATCAACATTCGTGATGATTAAATTCACATTTGGCAATAGTTTAAATAAATCTGTATTGAATGAATAGATGGCTAATATTTTTTCTATTTTATCGTAGGTAATGACAATCCACCACGCTTTTCAAGTGATCGATTGCGATTTTATGTGCCTGAAAATTCACCCATTGGATCGGTTGTTGGTCAATTAAGAGCTACCGATGCGGATGAAGGTGCCAATGCTCGAATCGAATATACTATTGTTGGAGGATCGGATATGAAATGGTTTGCATTGAAATCTTCATCATCATCGTCATCATCTCAACAACAATCATCAATCACATCTTCATCTTCATCTTCATCTTCAGTATCCGGCGATTCATCCAGCGATTTGGTTGCTACCTTAATCACTCGAACCGAATTGGATTTTGAATCCGAGAAAAAAGTCTACAATATAATTGTACGTGCGTCATCATTACCATTACGGAATGATGTCGATGTCGAAATTCATGTGACTGGTAAGTGAATCAGTTATTTTTTTTATTTATGTCATTAATCTATTAATGATCATACTTTTTTCAATCACTATTCATACATTTATATGCATACTATTAAAAGTTCATTATTGTTTCCACAATTAGACTTTCCATTTTCCGATCGATCATGATCATGATTTACTATTGTGATTATGAACATGATTGATTCGGGCCAAGTACAACACTGATCGAACAAAATTTAATATCCTTATTATCAATCAAAGATGATCAGTGTACGTCTTGCTATTCAGGTCGTCGTTAAGAATGTTTTTATCTATTTGAACATCCGAATTTTCAAGAAAAACATGACTATTGAACAAAAAAAAAAATCATTATGATGTTTGGAAATGATGATCAACATTCTTATGTATTATTTGTATCACCTGTATGCATAGTGAATAAAAAATGATTACCTCTCAGAGATGGCTATTACACTTTAATGATTTATTATTATAATCATCGGCCATCATTGTATGGTTCTCTTTTTCTGATTTCATTCATATAACCGGATTGAATTTCATCAAATTTTTTTTTTTAAATTGAATTCGCAAATATTATGAATGCATTGTTCGTACATCTGGATAAGACCATTGTGATGATGATGAGCATCGTCATCACCATCATACTGGATTTATGATTGAATCTTTTGTGTTTGGTTAGGCATCTACAATAGCCTGACCTTTATTCATTTTTTTTATCATTGAACTTGATGCGGCAATCAAGCTTTACTTCTCTTATGTATAAATGAATAATACCGGTGAATGGCCATAAGCAACAGTGTTTAACTTAGAAACTAACCAACCGGTTCTTATGAATTCGAATGCTATCAAGGTGGTTGATTCGCACCTTGAATGGCTGGTCTTGATTGTTAATATTTGCCAATTGGCTAATTTATCTATGGCTCACTTGCTGAACTTGTAGTGAGAGCAATTTAATTTTCGAATACTGGCAAAGATTTTTAGTTCTTTGTTTTGACTCTGATTATCATTGACAGGCAGAATACATTTTGGAATTCCACCCACTCTTTTGGCTTTTTTCTCTCAAAAATCTGATTCTATGATTAATATCCTGGTAGGCGCCTTTGTAATTTCATTGAAGCAATATCGAATTATCGATATCATAGATTCAAACCTATTATTATGTTCATAAGTTGGATAAAAAGACGTAGATAGTAAAATGTGATTATGTTAATTATCCATCAAAACATGATCCTCTTTACTTCTGAATCAATAATCAGTTCCCATGCTTTGATCACATAGTATTCGATTGATCTGAATTTAGCTAGGTAGAATGAAAGAAATTGGATATGTTGAGCATTATTTCGGACCATTCCAATGTTGACAAACGAATTTGATCAGCTTTGTTTTCAGGCTTTCGTGAGCAGGACATTGGATATTTTTCAAAATTTTTTTCTTGAATCATCTAATTTCTCGATGTCATTCTTTAAATCATAGAATGAGAATCTTTTTTTTGTCAAACTGTATTTGTCAAGCCGTTTCGTTACACTTTCAATTTAACAAGAGTAGATCGTGTGAGAGTGGCGGTAAAATAATGAACATAAGAAGATTTGTTTGAATGTATCGGAAACAAATAGATGAGATGTTGAAGAAATCCGATCAAAGATCTAAATCCGATTGACTAAACGATTCGTCGTTTTATGCCCACTTGAATGTATGGATTGCTTCTATAACATCTGCATCTATTCGATTAGTTTTGAAAAAGGAAGGGTCAGTTAAACAACTGACTTGAATCAGAATAGATACAACATCGAAATTATTGTCATAATATTATAGTTGATCATTTGTTACTCTATTATTAACTTTGTTCTGAATTTTTCTTGAAAGATGTCAACGACCATGCACCATTATTACGTGATTTTGCCATCATATTCAACAACTATCGTGGACATTTTCCATTGGGGCAAGTGATTGGACGTGTACCAGCCTATGATGCCGATATTGGTGATAATCTCCGTCATCGATTTGTTGCCGGAAACAAAGCTAATCTTCTGTTGCTGAATGAAACAAGTGGTGAATTACGTTTATCACCATCGTTGAATACAAACGTTCCTACTCGTGCATTATTAGAATTGGCCGTCACTGATGGTGTCAACGAAGCAATGGCTCGATGCTATTTGGCTGTTAATCTGGTCACTGAATCAATGCTTTTTCATAGTGTTACAGTTCGACTTAATCGCGTCACCCGTCATCAATTCCTTTCAAATCTTTATAATCGATTTTTAGAAGGATTGGCTACAGTTATTCCTTGTGCAAAAGAGAATATCATCATTTTTAACATACAGGTATTTATTAACAAGAACTTTAATTAAATAAAGGATTTTTTGTTTATCACTGATTATTTTGAACAGGATGACACCGAATCGGAATCGATGCCTGTATTGAATGTGTCATTTTCTGCTCGTTTATCTGAATCGCTTCGCGATACAGAATCTTATTATTCTTCGCAATTTCTTCAAGAACGTGTTTACATTAGCCGTACATTGTTGACCGAATTGACTGGTTTAGAGGCATGTGTAAATTGTAAATTCAAGTTTGTCATCAACATTCATTTTTTTCCCTGTTCCCTTAGGTTTTACCATTCGATGATAATCTCTGTGTTCGTGAACCATGTCTCAACTTTGAAGAATGTTTATCCGTGCTCAAATTTGGCAATGCATCAGATTTTATTGGTACCGAAGCCATCCTCTTTCGTTCCATATCACCAGTGAATACATTTGCTTGTCGTTGTCCCACCGGATTTCAAGGTAGGTTTGCCTTTAGGGTTATTTCTTGGATCCAATATGTTGATCGTGTAAACAATGATGTCAAAATGCATACATGTATTTGGTTGTGTAAAACAGAAACAACGAAACAGATTTTAAATTGCGAATTTGTTGATTGGACACCAATACTATATTCTGTCCTTCTGGGACATTGTTGTCATGTTGGTTTGTAATAATCAACATACACATGAGTCAAATATTGTAACAAGAATATGTATTCTACTTCCAAATACAAATAAACACAGAACATTCCAAAAGTTTGAACATCTATTTCTTTGACTAAACTCATGTTTGCTCTTTCCTACTTTTTTTCCTAACCGACTGTGATGATGATTCTTCTATATGTGTGCAGTGTATGTATGTGTCGATTGGTTTGGTCCAGCATCAAATATTATTATTTGGGCAATCTCTGATGTTTGTATTTGTATGTCATACACTAACAAAGTCTTTTTTTTTCGTTATTTGGACGATTCAATGAATCTTTTTTTTCTTGGTTTGTCCGTTTTTTTTTTTGCTTTGGTTCAATATTTTCCAACCAATTAGCAACATTTGCTGTTTTGATCTTTTTTGTATCTGTATGTGTGTATTGAGAATCTGTCATCAAAATTGTTTGTTTTCGATTGCAGAATGTTGTAGAATATAAAATGTTGTTGTCATTGAATCGAAAAAGGATAAATGAAAAGGAGGAGTGATTGTATTATTAATCAAGAACAATAACTGAAGAAAATACCCAATCAATAAGTTCATGTTTGGTGTGATGATAAACTATAGCCATTTGTTTATTATTAAACGACTTGCTGCCATCATTTTTAGATTTTAGTATACTTTTTCTGTATTTGTTTTTCTGTATGTGTTTGAAATGATTGCTGATGATGATCATGTCATAAACATCATCATCATCATCATTTCAATTTGTATTGCATTGATGTTATTATGACAGTGATGGCCATCATCATCATTGGCCATAATGGTCGTGAAATATAATCGATTCATGTGTAACATACAAATAAGAAATTGTAAATTTTTGTTTTGTTGTTTTATCATAAACGAAAAAACATTGAGACTAATGGTGTCTGATCCATCGAACGATATCGGACATTGCTTTATGTTTGTTGATGATTTTATTTTTTTCATACAATCCATTTCTTTGATTTCAAAAAAAATGAATCAAAATCCTAGAACGTGTGAAGAAAGTTTATGATGATGATCATCATTTGGTTTTTCAGTACATTTATAGTAGGTGATGATGATGATGCAGTTTGATAAAATATCAAAAAAAAAAAAAAATACATTTTGGAAATGATCTTGGCCAATGTAGAATATATTTTTGTCTATTTGCTGATCGATACCATTTTCATATGTTTGTATGGCGAATTTTTTCCCCGTTCATATGACAAATGTCCTGATGATGATGATATCTGTTGTCTCCCTAATGATGATTGTCCATGATGATATATAGAGAAAATAAGATGTGCAAATGGACATTCGGTTCCATCTTCATTATTACATTTTGTCTTTTATCTTGATATAATCACAATTCATACACATACACACTATGCCCATAAAATAGGATGATATATTTTTCCTGGTTCTGGTTTAATTTGATATTTTTTTTAATGTAATGATTTATTTGAAAATTCCCGTTTTTTTCTGGTAAAACAAATTTTATGAAACTAGAAAAGTAGTATGACTCTACAACGGTGAACTTTGGCATCTGCTCTTTTTTATCGATTCTTTGATAAATTTGTCTATGTGAAATCATGCCATGTGTGTGTTAAATTTCTTATTCCACATATCGATCAAATATTTTAGACTTGTTTTTTTCCATCATAATAATGATCATTGGTTCAATCAGTTATAATTATGAATACACTCATGAAATATTATTATTATGATTCAATTTTCGTTCAAAATGAATTAAGTTAGGCTTCACATAATGATATTTGTAACAATTCAATTTGGATTCTATTTCATCGACATTGAGAATCGATTACCGATCGATTCTTTGATTCACGTATGACATAAAACGGATAGTTTGCCCGAATCGGAAGTCTCATCTCGTTTGTTTGATTTTCTCATTATATACGGATATCTCTCATCCATTAAATTTCCTTTTGGATTCGAATCACGAAATTTTCAAATTTACCAACACAAAAAAAAACTTGTAGATTTTGCCCCTTATATTTTTTGTTCATTCACTCACTTACTCCTCAGGTTCGTTCAGATCCGGTTTTCGTTCGTGCGTGTGCGTTCGTGTGTTTGTGTTTATGCGTGAATTTTGGCTTTGATATCGTATTTCTGAGTGCTGTCAAGAAAAAGATAACAATCTTTTTTTCCTAACTAGACCCTAGGCTCTGGTTAGGGAGCCATTAACACGTATGACTGAAAATCATTCATTCATGTCTGACTTTTTAGGATCAAAAAAACAAACCCATCGATTATTAACCAGCATAATGATTTCGATGTAAAAGTAACAATGAATTTATTTACTCGTCCATGAATTTCCACTGTTCCGATTAGCCTTTAGCCATCGATCGACTACCAATATATAATCGATAAATTCACTATCTTTTGCCATTAAGTCCGTGATCATCAATTCAAGTTAATCGTCTATTAATTATAAATTCGTTCTCTTGCCTCATCACCATAGTATATAGATAGTTATGTTAAATTTTCCGATGATGACCTAATCGTGACAAACACATCCGATCATATCAACCAAGTTTTACTTTAACCAAAAAAAAAGTTTGTCAGGATGATGATAAAAAGTTGTGCTTTTTTTTCTCTCTCTAAGAATTCATCATAATTTTGTTTGTATTGTTTTACTCTTTTCTCATTTCTGTCATTGCAAGAATGTGAATAGGGTTTTGCGGTTGTCATAATAAATGTGTGTGTGTGTATGTGTGTTTTGGTATATTCATTCATGTCAGTCAGATGTCATTCGTAGCTGTCGCTTAAACAGGAACCAGAATCAAATAAAGCAAATCATTTGTCGATTGTGGCCATTATTGTTGTTTTTGAAGGCATATGTTGTTCGCGTCATGTTTGTTCGTTTGCTTATCAGTCAAACACAGACAGACACACTTATATATGTCGCATAATCGACGTGTCCAAGATTCTGGTCACGTTCTTTAGCTGGTTATCTTTTTTTTTGGCTCGACTATCGTGGATATAATCTATAAAATTCTGATTCAGTTTATCTTGACCAAAATGAAAACAAAAACCATTTCAATCGATGGCTAACATTTTTGAGGATTTAAACAGCAGGAAAAAAACTTTACATGTTAGGCTATTCAATTATGACCACAACAAAAATTGTGAACACAAATGCAAATGTTTTTTTTGCATAATAATTTTTCATTTTGTCTACTTTTTGTAGAATTGAATGACTAATACACTTAGTAAACTGTATGCTTGGTGTTATTCATTCAAGAAAAAAGAAAAAAGTGATTCCGATTTATTTTTTCTGTATAAGATCTTAATCCAATCAGAATTGGTGGTCCACTTGAACACTCTCGAACCCGATTAGTGACCAATGTGTGACTGAAGTGAGCAAAAATACAATGTTAGGACATTGTACTTTTTCCCATAAGCTATTAAAATATTTTTAATGTACACATCATTTAGATTGTTATGTTTTTGTAGGTTTGTCAAGTGATGAACCGAAACGTTACGGAAACATGGACCTAATCATCGGACAAAGCCTGCAGCTACTTGAAACCCGTAATAATTGGTCTATTCTGTTGTTTCATCAATGTTCATTTTTGGTCATGTTTTCCCTTCACTGGTTGGCTGATTTCTATTTTTAAAAAAAGTTGCTTACGCTTCTAAACTTCTATTATTCACATTGATTATGTTTTTTATTTGCTTCTTTTTTTGCTGGCTGATTTTTTTTGCAAGGAAAAAAAGTCAAAGCTGTCAAACCAAAGCGTGTTGTTTGTGATCATTAATATCCATTTGCATATCTATCTCATTTTCGATGTTTCATTGGATGTTTGTATTCTATCGTTTTTCATTAACGTATGATATGAGACAACATATTTGCGGAAACGTTACCCATTTGCATACAACTGAATATAATAATATTAAAAACTTTGATTTCAGTATTCGATAATAATCATGTTGGCCACGATTCAAGGTGTTGAGACTAAGTCAATGTAAACAAATGTCATTAAGAATCGAATGGAATAAAGATAGAGAAAAAAACCATAGCCATTGTCAGTCCATGAACAAACAGGAAAGATGGAGCAAACATAAACCAAATATCACAATCTATGATGCTATGCATCGATTGCATTCCATATGTATGTATGTTTGTGTGTGTATGTGATATTTGGGCGCGTTTTATGAGCCATGAAATTGGCAGCCATCAAATGTACATTAGGCCCCATTGATTGCTTGGTTTAGTTTTTTTTATTAGTTGCTTCAAATTTATTTCAGCCTCAAACGAAACTTTGGGCCTTTTGGTTTTTTGTAATTTTTTTTTCTTCTATTTCCTATCGGGATCCTTTCGAATCAATGACGGTGTCAAGAATCCCCAAATGAATGGTGATGTGTGTTTGTTTTGTTTTGTTTTGTTTTTTTTTCATTCACAACCAAGAAACAGCTATAAGACGATTCAACAAAAGTATATTTGATGAAAATGGGAATCTAACAATGTGAAGCCATAATGTAAGATTTAGATAGGGAACAAATATCTTTTTTCCTCCCATTCTATTCAATTTTAGCAACCATTGATTGGTAATTGATTTCTTTTCTTTTTTTATTTTCATTTTTACCTTTTTTCCATACAATCCGTTTTTTTTATTCGCATCATCATCATCATCATCACGGAATAGCATTGATTTGCCAATGATGATCATGGCAAACACATTTAGTACGCATTGATCTTAATCCTTCAATGGGTAAATCATTCACTGCACATTTTTTCTTCAAAGCTGCCTTTTGTCTTTTTTTGTGTTTGTGCGTGTGTTCTATTTGTG